TGATCCCTATCCGGAAACATGGCTCCAAGGGCCTTCGACCTGCGCCTACAGACTGCAATGCAGTCGATTAACAGGTGCTCCGGGGTTTCAGGGTCCTTGTCGCAAAACCGACAGTTTGCGCAAGATGATAGACCCATACTGAATAGGTGCCTTTTCAGTTTGCAGTGGCCGGTATAAAATATGAAATATGGGACATGTTTGTAGCTTCCTTGTCTGCGTTTCCCTGCATCCAGACGAACATATTGGTGCGGCATAGTAAAGAATGCCTTGTTGCGGCTCTATACATTGGCAATAATCGCGTTCGTTTGAGGGGTGAAATTCACAGGCTGTCGAAAATCCCACCTAAAGTGTTAGGTGAAAATATCTTGTCAAATATAAAAGTTTTCCATACAATAACTTGATTTTGGTCATTCAGTTTGTATGGCAGCTCTGTATATGCTAAAATAATCCGAACTGAAAAATTTATTGAGATATCGGAGTATTGCTTGGTATAATAGTTCTTCACTCTATTTTCCCAAGAGAAGTTCGAATTACTGTCAGCGCCGTATTTTTTTTTTATATTTCCACAATAAATTCTTTCTTAACATTCTTCGAATATCATATTTTAATGCATCATTGGTTTTAATAAAAATATGTTGACTGTGTCGTCAGATAATTTTTACAAAAATATGCCTGTTTTGCACAAAATAACCCTACTTACCGTTAATCAATTCGATTTCCCGTTTATTATTTATATCAGTTAATATATACATATGTATCGTCACCTAAAATGAAAATAACGTAACAACATTTTCGAAAATTTACAGTGGCACGAAATAAAATGGAACAAGAGTGGAAGAAAATTTTAATATTGGTCAAAACTAATTCATATAGGAGCGCAGAACCTGAAAATCTTGGACATATATATGTAATATTATGTATGTAATTTGAAGTAGTGAATCGTAATCAATAAGATACTCAATTCCGAATTTTTTGATGATACGATGAATCTCTTCCAAAATTTTTTTTATTGCGTTTGTAAATTTTATATATCGTTTAAATTGCGTTTAACATGCGGGAAATTTAGATACAAAAAAGTAATCTATGTTTGTATTACCGTGTTTTTTACAAATCCAACTTACCTGATGACTACTGCTTTGCATTTCTTTTTCTCCAATACCAAAGTCCTCTCCGTATAAGCATGCACATGTAAATACATGCAGAAGTATATAGTAAGTATACATGTACATATACATATGTATTTTCACATTTTTCAGCCTCTCAATTACACACTATACTTTTGTTACATTTCCGATACTCTGGATATTAAAAAAATGCCGGACGCACTACATTTCGGGTACCAGAAATTAAAATTGAACGAATATCCGTTTCCTACACTTCACTTCCACTTATTTCAGCACTAAACAACAAATATAGCTTTTGCTGCACACAACATATTTATTATTTCACGAAATAACCGAAAACTTTTCATTTATTAGTAATTTGAAACAAATTTCATAAACTTCACGATTTGCAAACTTTCAAATTCACGAATTTTGTCAAATTTATCGCTCGCCAAACAAAAGTTGCCACCACGTTAAGAGGATATGTGATTACTCAATTACCACCTAGGAACAAAATATTTTATTTTGATAAAATTTGTCAATATTTGATTTAAATTTGGAAATTTTTTTTATAAACAAATTTTAGACAAGTTTTTGAAATAAATACTTATTAATTATATACATATTCTTTATAATAAACATGAAATTTCAAATTTCATAAGTTTCGTAAAATATAAACCTGCTTGACACTATGGTAGCACTGCGTAACATTCATTCCACTCATTCCACAGCCAAATAGCAACACTTTTATTTGTTGTCGGCCGGCAACTAGTTGAATTTCACAAATTAATGCTATTTACGGCGTAATTTAATTCCATTAGAGTAAATAATTATGTAATTAAATGCTATCTTATGCACGCAATATTAGCAAAAATTATGAATATAAAATATGATACGACTCTGTGCTTGCAGATTGTGACAGAATGGCGGCTACCAACAAAGCATTAAATATCGGTGATGAATTTCCAAATTTTCATGCTGAAACAACTGAGGGTCCCATTGACTTTCATGAATGGATAGGCAAATCGTGTGTTAACTGCATATTAAATAATTGTAAAGGATAACTTTAATTTCATTTTCAGTTGGGCAATTCTGTTTTCGCATCCAGCCGACTATACACCAGTGTGCACAACGGAATTGGCACGTGTCGCAAAACTCCTACCGGAATTTGCTAAACGAAATGTAAAGCCAATTGCTTTATCTGTTGATACAGTTGAGTCGCATAAAGGATGGATAGAGGATATTAAAAGCTACGGCGGTAAGTTTTTTGAATAATAAGAACTTGTTTATATTTATACTACAATTGTTTCATAGCTCTAAACTCCTTTGACTATCCAATTATTGCTGATAACAAGCGTGAATTGGCTGTGAAATTAAATATGCTGGATAAGGATGAGTTAAACAAAGATGGCATACCACTAACTTGTCGTGCAGTATTCGTTATTGATGATAAAAAGAAGCTGCGTCTTTCAATTCTTTATCCAGCCACAACTGGCAGAAATTTTGAGTAAGTAACTTATTATATTGCCAAAAAATTGTATCTAATATTGTAATGTTATTCATAGTGAAATACTGCGTGTAATCGACTCACTTCAACTCACACAAAATAAATCCGTGGCTACGCCAGCTGATTGGAAGGTACAGCTCATTCATAGTATATGAATATATTTTTTTTTCATTAAACAGATTTTTTTAAAATAATTTAGCAAGGAGATGCATGCATGGTTTTGCCCACGGTTAAGGAAGATGACGTGCCGAAACTATTTCCAGCTGGCATTGAAGTGGTTGCAGTACCATCAGGGAAGACTTATTTGCGTAAAACGCCACAACCGTAGATTTTAATAATCCGGTCATAAAGAAACTGTTGAAAATTGCTATTTTAAGTTCCTTTAGAAATCTATTTGTAATTCTTCTTTGTAATTTATGTTATGAATTTCTAGTTTTTTAATAATTGTAACCTCTTTCTACATTCTGATTAAAAACAGCACTTCATCATATATTGTTATTTTGAATATTTGTCATAGACTTAATAAAATTATATTAAATTATATATGCCCTTGCAACAACAATTAATTTTATTTGTGAGCTATGCATACCGTAAAATACTTGTTATGAACTTTTAAATAAACACATTAGAATCAACGACCAAAAAATATTGCGCAATATTTTTAAACGGTCGATTATAGTACCTCTGACTAATCGATAATATTTTATGCTTTTTATTTGACGTTTGAAATTCGCTGCCCTGGCGGTATTTGTTGCACTAGTGAATTTAATTCAATAACATTGAACAATTGGGCAAATTCCACAGCATCACACCAGCAGCAACAGGTTTCCGTATCACACGTCTGCACAAAAGTGAAAGTGCGCAAGGAAACTGCTTGTTTAATACTAAGAACGTTTCTCTAAAGGATTGAGTAGGGACAACAAAAGACGCTTAGGTAAGCAACTCCAACGCTGCCAACAATATAATCAGCTGTATTCCTATAAACAATAATATCAATATTTGTAGCAGGGTTATCACAAGCATTAACAAAGAAATAAATTGAGTTCCTAGGTTATGCGTATCCACTGACCATTTGCGAGCATACTGCCAAGTACAAAGTTCAATTGGGCACCGTATTTGTGGTATGTATTGATAATTAAAAAGTGACAATTTGTGATTATTTATATTTTATTTGATAAAGACTTCAAAACCAAAACACATACATACGAAACAATCAAAATGTCAGAGGCACCTGCACAAGAGCGTAAAGCAAATCCCTTCAAAGCTTTTCTTAGTGGCGGATTCGGTGGCATATGCAATGTGTTATCTGGTCATCCGCTGGACACCATTAAGGTTAGTTGTAAATATTTAAAAAACATAAATTATCACTAAATTATTTCTTTTTTTGTTTTTTTTTTTTTTTTGTTTTATGTGCTTAGGTGCGTCTGCAAACAATGCCAAGACCAGCGCCTGGGCAGGCGCCATTATATACCGGCACCTTTGATTGTGCTGCCAAAACTATTAAGAATGAAGGTGTCCGTGGGCTTTACAAAGGCATGTCTGCACCGCTTACCGGTGTAGCGCCAATTTTCGCATTATGCTTTGCTGGCTACGCATTAGGCAAACGAGTACAACAAACTGGTGAAAACACCAAATTGACATACTCGCAAATTGCTATTGCCGGCTCGTTTTCTGGCTTGATGTCAACGATAATAACAGCGCCTGGTGAGCGTATCAAGTGTTTACTGCAAGTGCAACAAGCCTCTGGTGGTGAGCGCAAATACAAGGGTATGATGGATACCGCAGTGCAACTCTACAAAGAGGGCGGTATACGTAGTGTTTATAAGGGCAGTTGTGCGACGCTTTTGCGAGGTGAGTACCTTGTGAGTTATGTCTAGTGCTGTGTTTGAATGAACGTTATGTGGTTATGGAAAAGAAATTCTTTATTATATTTGTTTTAAAAAATTTTTATTTTGAAAATAATGACAATAGTTTTAGGAAGTTGTATGAGCATGTGTGTTTTTATTTGTAAATTTTTAACTAAAATGCTAATCTTTAATATAAATTTTTTGTGTGATTAAAGTGTTTAAATTGAAGAATTTTGCTTCATTTGATTGTACAATTTTGTACTTAAGATTCGTGTTTAACCTGCTCTTTAGTGTAGTTTACTTATCAAATTTTTTGTCACAACTATTGATAAATTATTGAAAAAGGTGTTTACCCTTAGTGCGCCGATATTAGTTTATTCGAAATTTTCTTAAACGCCATAAATTTGTATAAATATAAATCTTAATATAGTGTTGTGATGTGTGTGTGCTTAAACTAATGCATATAACAAACTAAAAATATGACAATCTAACAATTAATTTTTTTGATTATTTATTTAACTTAAGACAACCAAAGCTCGCTTCTTATCTATCAGGTTCTTGTAGACCAAAACTTTAGCGCTTCAAAATTCACATGATGTCATTGTTCGTGTACAACAAATACCATTTTTTTATATATATTATTCTATATTATATATCATTTGAAATATTATTATTATCTTCTTCTTCTGCAACATGTTCCACACGTTTGGCGCGTTCCTGTTGCATTGCGTATGTCAATGTATTCCTTTGTGTCAATGCAATAACGGTTTTTGGCTGCCCATCTATCACTCTGACCGCGTGCACTTGTGTTTGGTTTTTGTTTTTCATTAATTTCAATTTGCTCTGCTCAATTTTACGCCAATGTGGCATAGGCTGTTTACCACCCGGCCGTGGCAATATGCTGTTTTGTTGTGGCGTATGTGAATGTTGTTGCTTCTTAGTTAGCACCACACGTCCAGGAGCACAATTCAATTGTTTATGTATTACATAGAAGACGCTACGTTCGTTGTGATTGCTACAACGTGGTGCATAGCGATTCTCATAGACGTAACTATCCACACGTCGGCATGAAATTTGCTTACCCGTCGTATAATCGGTGATGCAACGTTTCGTGCGTGGACCACGCACTTGATTAGTAATCTTGGGACGCCAATTGTACATCTCACAACTACATTCCCATGGATTTTCGTTAAGCCGTGCTAAACGCAATTTCGGACGCAGAAAGAATGTGTGTGGCAGTGTGCGTAAACGATTGCCTTGCAAGTAGATTTCCTCCAATTGCGGTTGATCATCGAGTAGGCCAGGTGGAAAGTAGGAGATGTTATTATAGGACAAATCTAGCACTTCCAGCGCACGACAATCGATAAAAGCGTCCATTGACAGCTCTTGTATGCCACAATGACTCAATTCAAGTTCGCGTAGCTTGTGTAGACTTGCGAAGGCGTCGAACTCGATGCTACGTATGTTGCCATGCAACGTTAGCTTCTCCAGCGCTGTCAAGCCCTATAAATTGGAATGTGTTTTATGAAATGTAAATGACTTAGTTTTTATATGGCCGCGCATTAGAGACAATCGATAATTGTATAAATTTAATATATCCGAAGGGATTTGCATGGACATTTTTTTATTTTATCTTTATGATATTACTATTTAAGGCCGTTCAAATTGATTAGATCGGACAATTATAAGTGCCATTCAATCTGACAGATCGAAAGCCACTGTTGTTTAAACTTACCTTAAACATATTTTGCCCCAAATTCCCGACTGACACATTTCCAATATGCAACTCCTGCAGCTCCACTAGCGATTCGAAAGGTTGATTGTTTTTCAAGCGCAACGCCATTGTTTGCGAATCAAAATGCATCGAAAGTGTTGAATTCATAACCCAAAAACTGGCCGGTAATATATTTCTAATGGGATTGCTACGAAAATCAACGCGCACCAATTTTGGAAAGGGTGGAAAACTGCGTTCACTCAATTTATCCAAACGATTGTCGCTTAAATCGAGCACTTCCAACTCCAGCAGACCGGCTAAAGCGCGATAATGCAAGTCGTGTATCAAATTATGTGCCAACGACAGCGTTTGTATATGTAGAGCGCCATAGAAGGAGAATGGTGGCACCTCTGTAATACCGTTGCGTTCCAACGATAAGTGATCCAAAGCAGTCAGACCGTCAAACATCTCCCAACGCAGTTCGTTCAATTGACAACCGTGTATGCGCAAAACTTGCAAATGCTCCCACCCGTAGAATGTGGGCATGCGCGCTTTTATCAATTCCTGTTTGTAAATATCGTACGGCACTATATTGTCATCGTAATCGTCGAGTGGCGCAAAAGCCAAAGCATCCAAATCGTCATACGATTCACTGCGCGGCTTGTAATCGTAACTATCTTTGGGATGGACGGAATTCTTGGGACGCTTGTAATCTTCACTGCCCAACAGTGTGACCGATTCGAAATTGGCATATTGCAGAAAACCCAGCGATTGATCGAAGAGTACGCGCAAGGAGCGATTGAGGCCACCGCGTACTTCCAATGTGGTGAGTTGATTGAGTGGCTTCAGCGTGCTCAGATTGACTATTTGTGGGAAGTGGAGAAAAAAAAAAGAAGTGGAATAAAAGATGAGGAAAATATATTTATAGTTGATATTCGCACTATGCACAAGTGCTATGTGTGTGAAAGCGACTAAACAATTGTTTATCTAACTTTATAGCATTTTACAAAGCGCCGCATAGTCTTATCGCACAGCGCAGCTATCCTTCGTAGCATGCTTGCAAACGATTACTGCTTCATTTTTACGTTTTTCGGAGTGTTTTGATTTTTTTTTAGTAATTTTATGATTATTTTTGTTTTATTTCTTTTAATTTTTTTATTAAATTTAATATTTATTGGAATTTTTTTGAAATACTCACTGCTTTTATTTCTACCACTGCTTGTGTAAAGCAATATCAAAGCATGCAAATCATGTGGCAACTTCTGTATCAAGTCCTCCACGTCGCTCTCCTCTTGCAGTATACAAGTAGCCTGTTTCATATAAGGATTTATCGTGTACACATCATCATTAGCGTCGTTATCAAAGTTTTCGTATGTGGCCTCGTTGCTGTTGCTGCTCGCACGCTCATTAGACCAAATATTGTCCACTTGCTCCGCACCTGGTCGTTGCGCTTGCATGTGTTGTATCCAACGTGATATGGACAGCTCGGCAAAAGGCGCATACTGACAGACACAACCGGTCGGACATTGTAGCGTGTCGATTGCCAACTGTTGCGTGTGCTCATGTGGCAACTGTAATGGGGGCACTTCCGTTCGTTGCAATCGTTGTATCCGGTGTGTTGTAGTCACTTCATTGTGTGCACGTTCAACCGCGTGTGGTCCCAACTTTTTATGCTTTTGTTGTAGCTGCTGATATTTTAGAAATTTCGTATGCTGTTTGGTATGTGGTTTGGCATTGATGCGTGCAGCGTTGACATTGAGTTGCTGTAGTGGCATAGGGGTGGTAAACGGTACCATGAATTTGTGTGAAAAATAGTTAAATTTGTTTTTTTTACTTTTTGTTTATGTAAAACATATCTTTTTTAAACTAATTGTGTGAAACTATTGCTAAAATATGTACTAAGCTAAGTGTATTTAATAGAACCATATTTTTTTGTTTCCTTTTCTTTTTAGTAGCTTCACTTGCGTGTGTCGCAAATCGCGAGTTCCTCAGTTTTAAGATATCGTGAATTTTTACACAAGCTCTTTTCTCCTCAAAAAACTGCTAATTTATTGTAAACGCCGATATCGGGCAATTATTAGATATAGCTGTCATATAAACTGATCGATCAAAATGAAGTACTTGTATGAAAAACTTTTTTATTTGAAAAAATATCTTCACGACATTTGG